CGGCGAAGGGTAGAAAGATGATGGGTAAGGGAATCATGCAAATGACTCCTAAAGTGAGGGAAGTCGGAGCTAGATCCGTAAGATGGGAAGCCAGGGCAACGCTACGGTCCCGATGCCTATGCGTATACCAATGGAGAGCCCAACTCAGAGGAACCCGGCTAAAGGGAGACCATCATGCGACACAAGCAGGGTACTGTACAGGGTAGAGTGGTAAGAGAGTGGCGACGTCTGAAGTAGTCAGAGCTGATCGTGATGAAGTCTATGAAGCTGCCGATGACGTCCACGATGAGAAGTCCGGAATGCCGTCGAGGAAGAGCCGCAGCGTCGACGAGCTGAAGTAGCAAAACTGATGTGGATGGAGTACTGAGAAGTCAAAGACGTGGGAAGGTAAGTCAGAGTTAATCGTCGTATCGAGCAGGACGACGACGAGTGCGCTGTGGACGCTCAGAAGCATCCGGCTGCTGCTGAAGGGTTGCCTCAGATGGAGCAGGCTCGACTTCAGCGGTCTCCTCAGCCGGAGGAGAAGGAGGAGGGTCAGTGGGCTGAGGAGGAGCAGTGAACCCAGCACGACGAGCACGGTCATAGGCACGCACCAACATGCGAGCGTGCTGCAAGTGCTCGAGGGGCTCCCAGGTAGCCTCCTCATSAGGGTAAYCCTTCCAACGTACGAGATACTCGACGTGGGGAGGTTTGTCGTCGGTGACTCGGCGACCAATGRTGTCTGAAACGAGGAACTCCTCGTAACTGTCCACCATGATGGGTGGAAGGCGCTCGTATGGTCGTCTAGCGAAACGCTCAGACAGTCTGCCGTAAGGACGCAGTAACGAGACGTGGTAGACATCGTGCACACGAGCCTGGCGTAGGTAGTCGGGCAGCTTCACACGGAAGCTAACCGGGCTAGATGCCGTATCAGAACCGACGGCCAAGAGGATGCGGCATGGGCCAAAGAAGCGACGCCGAAACTTGCGAAGTGTGTCCGCTTCGAGCTGTAAGTGGCGGGCGTCGATAAGCACATCATCAGCGACTTTGAATGAATGATCCATCCTCGATCGGTTCGCACGTGCTGCCATGCGAGTCTGGGAAGCGGCTATGTGCTTATGTGCGATCTTCATGATCGACGTCACGTGTGCAACCCAATTGTCCAGCGCGGGACAACTCATGTCGGGGTGCAGTTGGGACGGTCGAAGGAAGTCCGCGGGAATGCAAGGGTGATAGCCGAGGTCGCAATAGTAAGGCGACATCCCCATGTCTGGCGAGACGGCGTGGTTGTAGGCTATCTCCGCGTGGGCAAGATGAAGATCCCACTGCTGGTCGTCACGAACAATCTTTCGAAGAATATCTCTGAGAGTCCTGTTCGTGATCTCGGTCTGACCATCAGTCTGAGGATGGTAAGACGAGGAGAAGCGGAGCTGAGTGCCGTATACCTCGTGGAGCCGTCGCCAGAATCGGCTGGTAAAGTGCGGGTCACGATCAGATATGATGCTCAGAGGTAAGCCGTGGTCACGCACGACTCGGTCAAACGGCGACCTCACGTGCACTGATGGCATAGCGGCACGGAACAAAGCGTGCACACTTCGTGAAGTGGTCGACGACAACCAGGATAGCATCATGACCGCGAGGGGTCGGAGGACGAAGAGGACCGATAAAGTTCATCGAGATGGACTGCCAACGACCCTCAGGGATAGGAAGAGGCTGGAGCAAACCATAAGGCAGGTGGTTCGCACTGTTCACCTCCTGACAGGTGGGACAATCTGCGACGTAGTCCTTCACAAAGTTCTTGCGCTTCGGCCAGACGTAGAGGCGGCCCACACAAACCAACGTCTTGTGGAAGCCCATATGACCGGCAACTGCCTGGTCATGAAACTCTGCTACTGCTCGGACATGTAGCTGTCCAGTGGAGGGAACGCAAATACAGGGCTCTCTGGTGCCCTGTGAACCGTGCCAGTACACAAGACCGTTGTCCCCGAGAGAGTAGTTCGGGACGGTCTTGCCACTCCGAAGGGTCGCGTGGATGTCGCGATAGTCGGGGCAGTGGCGGTACTAAGTGTGAAACTCGTCGATCACCGAGTGGTGGACGGTGGTGACCGAGATGGAAGAGAGTTGGATGTGCTCCTTGTCGTGGTTAGGACGCCGGGATAGGGCATCTGCGACCCGATTAGTCTCACCCTTGATGTGTTCAGTGGTGAAACTAAACTCGGATAGGTCGCGCCACCAGCGAGCCTGTCGAGGAGTGAGCTTCGGCTTTGTCAGAAAAGCCTGGACAACAGAGTTGTCCGTGCGCACCGTGAATGGTGCCCCGTGCAGGTAGTGACGCCAGTGCCGAGCGGTATAAACTACTGCGAGAACCTCACGTTCATCAGCAGTGTAGTTTATCTCGGCGGGAAGGAGCTGACGGGAGTAGAAGGCTATCGGACAATCACCTGAGCGAGACTCGATAGTGCCGTCCTCGGCGATGGTAGGAGAATAGTCAATAGAAGGCTCGTCAGTAGCTGGACGAGTAGGCGTCAGTCGGGAAGCAATGGTAGGGGTAGGTGATGGGAAGCGAGGGATACGAGGATGAGAGGAATCAGGAGAGGAGGGGAAGACCTGAGAAAGCACTGCTCCTACAGCGAAGTCTGACGCATCGGTGGTAAGGATAAAAGGGCGGTCAAAATCGGGTAGGTGAAGAACCGGTGCGCATGTCACCGCCTTCTTGAGGGCGCGGAAGGCGTCCTCGTGGAGGGGTGCCCAAGCCCAGGGTGGGTTCTTCCGGAGGAGGGTGGAGGTAAGGACGTAGGAATACCTAGCGTATCCCCGGATGAAGCTACTGTGGTAACTGGTCAGGGCTAGGAAGCTGCAAAGCTGCTTGGCGGATGTGGGAGCGGGCCACTCCGCAATAGCAGTGATCTTCGCATCGTCCATGTGGAGACCCTGGTCAGACACGTAGTGTCCTAAGAAATCCACTTTGTGCTGGGCAAAGCGGCACTTGCTCAGCCTGGCGTAGAAGCCATGTCTGCGCAAGCGGTCAAGGACGTAGCGGAGATGTCTGAGGTGCTCCTCAAGGGTACAGCTGTAGACCTAGATATTGTCGAGGTAGGCGAGGACGTACTGCTCCAGGATGTCCCTGAAGATGTCGTTCATCGCCCTCTGAAAGGTAGCGGGGGCATTAGTGACGCCGAATGGCATCACTTTGAACTCGTAGTGGCCGAATTGCGATCGGAACGCGGTCTTCGGCTGGTCGGCTGCAGCGACACGGATCTGATGGTAACCGCTACGAAGATCAATCTTCGTAAAGAAGCGGTTGCCTGCTAGGCGATCGAACAGCTCATCGGAACGAGGTATGGGGTAGTTGTTCTTAACCGTGTAGCGGTTGAGACCGCGATAGCCGATGCAGAAACGGAGAGTTCCGTCCGCTTTGCGAGCAAAGAGGACGGGTGCACCCCACGGGGAGTTGCTGGGTTTAATGAAACCCGGTCTCAGGAACTCCTCAAGCTGACGCTTGAGTTCGGTGGCCTCGGGGATCGAGAGTCTGTAGAGTGCCTGGTGGTGAACACGATAGTCAGGCACAAGCTGAATGGAGTGCTCGACGTCACGCATCGGTGGGATGCCGGCGTACGAGAACGACGGTAGGAAAACGTCGTGGTACTCTCGGATGAGGTCACGAACTGCGGGCTCCAAGTCGGCCGTATATCGTGCGAGTTCCTTAGCGTCAGCGTCAGCGCGCGACGACGGGGTGGACTCGACGGACGGTGGAGGGACGGAAGTAGAGATGGGGGCCATGGAGATAGAAGGAGGATCGGGCTCCAACAGGATGAGCTCGGCGTCGGGACGGGGTGGATCATAGTGTGAGAGATCCGTCATGTTCACCATAAAGAAGGTGACGTCGTCCTGTCAGATGAAGTGAGCGAACTGCCAAGGCGAGGTGACAGTGATAGAGGGAGAGGTGTGGGCACTGAAGGCTCCGGGGGAGGAGAATCGGGGCGTGGTGTCGCAGTGGTACCTATGAAAGGTACGCGATACGTCTGTCCACACTTCGTTTTGAGAACGAGAGTGTTGGTCGCCCAATCGGCCTCGGTGCTGCAGAACCGACGACACCACGGAGTGCCGAGAATGAAGTCGTACCCCGTCTCCATCACATCCAAATGTGCAGAGGAGCGGTGGCGACGAGACGCAGGGGAACGATCAGTCGGCTCGAGGGTGAGGAATAAAGGGAGATTGGTGACCGTCTAATCAAAGAAGCGCTGGGTCTTGTCATCCCCTAGGGTGACAGAGATGGGAGACGGAGACCCGATCGTAGGTAAGCGGGCTTCGTTCACCACACGGGGGTGAATGAAGTCGCCCTGAGAACCGGAATCCCACAGCGCTGAGTACACCCTCGTGGAGGTCCCCAATCGTACTGGGATGATCGGAAGGGTGCGATCAGGGTCAGAGAGGATGGTGAGAAGGCGATGCAGGGCTGCGACATGGAGAGTGAGTCGCTCCTGACGAGCCTGGAGCATGCTCAAGTCCAGAAGAGAGGACACAACGCCCTCGCGAGTAGCGAGCTGCTCGCTACAACGGCCTGAGCGAACGGCTCGACACGTCGGTAGTCGTGGCGGGGAATGAGGGGAGACGGTGGTCTGCGGAGGCGCAGACGGTACTGCGACAGAGGGCTGAGTACACTCTGTCGAGTCCTGCGAGACCTCAGCTCCAGTAGCGAGAGGGGCGAACCTCGACAGAGATGTCGGGAAGCCGACTACTGAGGAGGGTGCAGGTGTACACTGCACCGTGGCTAGGAGGCGCCGCGGGGACGTGAGGCGTCGGGGGGGGACTGAGCACGACGCTGACGAGAAAGGTCAGCGTAGTGGCGGTCGAG